CTCTCTCTCTCTCTTTTCTACCCGTTGGTCTCTCTTGCTTTTTGTCAGCACACAACCAGCACACACTCACCCCACCCCCCCACTCCCTCCCTCCTTCCCCCATACACTCACAGATCTACTACATCGAGGTGAACAGCAATGATGAGCCTAGCCCAGGCGTGGTGGAGCACTATGAAGACACCCACACCGCTGACGTCACAGAGGCTGTCATCACCAGCCTGAAGGCCGACACCCGTTACCTCATCCAGGTGGCCGCCTACACCCGGAAGGGAGACGGGCTGCGCAGTCGGCCAAGGGTCATCACCACAAAGGGAGCAGGTAGATGGCTCACTGTTCTGTAACAATGTTTAATACCTTAACTCTTTAGACCCTGGGTTATTTCCACCGTTTCCCAGAGGGTTTTTTCTACGGTCACCTAAACCTGGCGCACTATGTCTCATTATAACCCCAAAAGCTTGCCTCTAACTTCTAAATGGCAGAAACAAAGGCTAAGTCATTACTAATAAACTTGGTTTGGGAATAGTTTCGAAACACAAGCAAAAACTAGCACTAAATGAAAAGAAACAGTTGTCACTGGTATCGGCCGCTCCGAACGCCGATGGGAAACAGGGTTATTACCACCGGATGCTTCCAGCGTCCAATGGGGTTCAAAGAGTTGAGAAAGTTCAGTTGAAATTGTCGAAAAGTGACCATTTTAAACAGGTGGACTTCATACAGTGTCATTATAATGTAAAGAATAACACAAAGGGAGATAGGAAGTAAAAGTTTGTACATGTGAATAATCCTATAGTGAAAGTGGTGTTATATCCATACCAAGCCATACCATATCAAACCACATCACACCACATCATGACTGATGTGTGTCCATCCATATCAGACCATATCGCGACCTCAGCGCTTTCTTGTCCTATCTTCTTCTTTTTTTTAAGCATTGAAAATATGACTTCTTCTTAAGCTCACTCTTTGTTGTGAACTGTTTTCACTGTTATTAAAAATGGAGATAGGACCAGAAACACTGAGGTCTCGATATCATACCATACTCGAACAACGTCTCTATAACCCCACAACTGATGTGTGTATCCGTGCCGTACCGGACCATGTCCTACCATACGTGAACCACATCTCACAGCACCAATACTGATGTTTGTAAATACTATAACAGGTCATACCACACCCCATCAAACCACATCTCGCCACACCTAAAAAAATTCACATATATGTATCTATACCAGACCATATCACACCATATTCGAACTACATTTCACAACACCATAACTGGTGTGTGTCCACCCATACCAGACCATGTCACACTATACCATAACTTATGTCTATGTTTCCATACCAGAGCATATCACACTATACCATAACTTATGTGTATGTATCCATACCAGAGCATATCACACTATACCATAACTTATGTGTATGTATCCATACCAGAGCATATCACACTATACCATAACTTATGTGTATGTAT